AAAAAAAAAAAAATTAAAAAAAGTGTTGACTCCTTTTTGTAGACGTAGTAAATGTTTGTAAAAGTTTAGAAAGTCAGTGAAAAGTGCAAAAACAAAACAATAAAAAGATAAAAAAATTATATACCTACATATATACAAAGTGCATCTATGCTGTGATTGGAATTTGCATCAAAAACTGGAAAACTGGGCTGCGGGAGATTTGGTTTTTTGAAAAGAAAGCTAGTAGCTGCCTTGGTGATTTTTATAGCCCTAGGTAAAGTATATCGAATTTTTTTTTGTTTTTGTTTTTTTTGTTTTACAAACCAAGAGCAGCGAGGTACGTTCAGTGCTTTCTTCTTTCAAAACCATGATCAACAGTAAGGCGTGTTGGAGTTTAGTTTCCCATCCATTCTCAATGTTCTGTCACATTTGTGCAGACTTTCGGATTGCAAGCTCGTTAACAGGTAAGTAAACTTTATTCCACAGTATCGGTGGGATAATGATGTTTTTAAATGCAAATATATTACACAAATTTTTCTTTTTTATTATAAATTTAAAGATAATTAATTTTACTTTGAAAAAAAAAAGAAAAAAAAAAGTTAATTATTTTTAAATTTAAATTTATTATTTAAAAAAAAAAAAAAACAAACAAGCATCTCCTTTCTTACTCACTTCCAAATTTCCCCTTTCTCCAAAGCCTCTTTTTTCCTCCTTTCTCATGACAATATTTATCCATTTCTTCCTTAAGAAAAAAAAAAGGAAATTTTCAGATTTTTCAGACGGTATACGGGCTTCTGAATCGCACGCTTTTTTCAAATGTTACGGGTAAGCTAACAACATGGCCATCATTTTTTTTTTTTTTTTTTTTTTTTGAATTTTATTTTACCACATTGTCATGTATATTAACTTATTCTTAGATTGGATTTGATTAATTTCTTTTTTAATTTTTTTTTTTTTATTTTTGGTTAACTGCATTAAAAAATGCATTAAACGTAAGCTTTACATTTAGTATTTAATATGCGTATGAGGCCAACGTAATTGTGTAGATGCAGATGCTTATGATCAGGGATTACCTTCCATTAGTTTAGGGAAATTTTGCGAGAATTTGAAGCGATTACTACAAAACACTCATTCGATAAACGTTTTAGAAAAGTAGAAAGTTTATAGCGGAGGAGCTCTCAAGATTCATTAGAAAGAGAAGGCATTCCATCAAGATTTCAAAAATTCATAGATGAATCATTCCTTTCACGGTCTAAAAAATATCTCCTTTACTGGATTATATAAGATACGTTTCATGAATTGCTGTCGTGAAAGCAGATTTGAAAGTAGTGGTAGCGTTAGTAGCGATAATCGGTGAAAATTGCACCTTTGGCAAACTCCCTGAGAAGGCGAAGAAATTTACTCTTCCACTGAAAGCGATTTAATCTTGTTCTGACGCCCTGAAAGCGGAAATAACTATTGATGATTCCTTTCCTACTCACATTGAAGGACTTATTAGCGAACAGTTGTAGGAGTTATATGAATGCTAGTTGTTGTCCATCAACAAACGTCTGTTGCTAAGAGAGAGATTTAAAAGTTCTCCTGGCGATTGCTAGGGAATACTGCAGTTTCGGCTAATATGTCTAGGAAACTGAGTCGCGTCGCTGGTCGCCCTGCCACCATAGGAAGCTAATATGCAAAATATCTACCTTCTGTCATGGCCGACTGACAACAGCACATGGATGAAGTATTTTTGATGGGCTTAAAGCAATTTTTTTCACTTGATCTGGTTGTTCCTTAATTCGTAAAGAAAATAATAATAATTTCTCATATTCCACTGTAAATAAGATCTTTTGGTTTAACGCAAGTTGCTTACTACCACAACCAAGCACGAAGAGAAGGCTTTTTTCCTTTGTTTGTTTATTCATTTATTTATTTATTTATTTATTTTTTTTGTATCACACAAGTTAAGACTAAATAGTAGAAATTTTCATTCACTGAA